CTTGGTTACGTGTTTCTCTAGCGGCTAGGGTCACAGGCTCAAGCCTTGATGGCGGACTCGACTTAAGAAGTAAGAGACACATGTAGCTGACAGCTAAGCCCATTCTTTGGCTACGAACCTTGTCCAAGCTTAGGCCCAAGTTGATTTAGTTTAAGTTATGTTTATTATTATTATTATTATTATTATTTTAAAAAAATGCTACTTATTTTTCTTTCTTATTCCTAAGCTTTCATGTTTATATCCCTAGCTTTTTTAACTCAGTTTAGTTTGGTTTGAATTAGTTCGGTTTAAATTGATTTTATCCATTTGATACTAAATTGAATTGGATTTTTTTTAATTTTTTTTACAATTTAATTTTTTAATTTTCTCGATTTAATTAGATTTTAAGATGTTTTACCTATTCCCAGTGACAATTTATCTGAGTAGACCATCTGCATATACCATACTTGCATTGATATAACATCTTACCAAATCATCCTTATCCTATGATACTGAATTATTGATCAAAGTATACACAATAATTGATGACATGCTAATCTTTGATAAGATAATTATTTGATGGATCAATGACTATAACACTTACCTATCAAACAAAAGATTGTATTGAGGGAAACTCTCAATTAATTTCCGATTAGCACTCAATCCTAAATCCTAATGTTAGGTATAATTCTCTTTCATTACATAGAATATTTGTATTGCATTTTGGTTTCACGTCTCCACAGGTACGATTGAGAAATTATCAACTCATGTTTGAATATTGTTATTAGATCAGACTTGATATAGGTTTAAAAGAATCCTGATAAAACTTAACTCAATTGAGCAACCCAATCAACCCAATTAAATGTTGATTTAACTTTTTTTTCAAAAAAAAATAAATAACATTGTTTTAATTTGTCTTTTAATTTATCTGGATCAACTTAATCATGCAACCTATAACCCAGGTTTTAAGTTGTATTTAATAAATTTATAAATTGAATTAAATATTTGAAATTTATGATCATTATATTTTCTGATTAATTTCATATATTAAGAATAAATCTTTATTACTCGACCAATAAACTAATATTCACACTTAAAATCTTAAAATGATATAATTATAAGATACATTTTCTGAAAATATTTGGATTTAATTTAGATAATGTAGGATAGGTTATATTTGCTTACCATCTAGATTAAGGGGTATTTAAAAATATAGTTGTAATTATTTTTTAAACTTAAAAATATATTTAAATAATAATTTTTTATTTTAAATAATTTTTGACATTACTGCATCAAAACAATATAAAAATATAAAAACTATTAATTTAAAACAAATAAATAAAAAATAACTAAAAAAACTCATTTAAAACACAATCATTCGATAAACATTTATGGAAGCATACCTACAACACCAATTACTAATTATTATAGCAAGATTTGTTTTTGGGCGGCATAGATTAGAAAGGCATGCACAATAATAATGGCATGGAATGCATAATGATGATCCCTGTAATTGGTGGGGTGTGCTGTGAGATTCAAAGAGGTCATAATCAACTTGAGCCCTAATCGATGAGCAGCAGCAGTATCTTTTGCTCCTCTTATAATATTGTTGTTCGATGCCACCACGTATTGTGATACTAAACCTAATTGGAGAAGAGATATGAGATATGCCACCCCCACTATTAAAATGTGATTCATAGTTTTTTCATTTTAATTCGTGAGATGAAGATTTACTGGATCAACCATGACGCATCATCACATTTTGTGGCATAGGATTAATCAGTGTATATATATAGTCAAGCACTAGCATATATTTTCGCATCATTTTGACAAGAAATTTTATACTGATAATTGAGAAGTAATTAATTTATTTTTGAGAAAATAAATAGATACAATCTTTTTTTTTTTCCATTTTCTGCATACTAAAAACAAATTAAATCAATTAAAAGAAAAAAAAAGGAAGAAGGGGCTGAATTGAAAATAATAATGATAATAATGAAGAAATTCAGGGAGCCACTATTATTATCTGTGTCCTTCATGTTGATTTATTTTATTTCAAAAAATATGTATGGGATTTGTTTTTCATGCTCTTTGTTATAATTTTTTGTTTTTGTTTTATAGCTTTAAACCTTACTTTCAATGAGAAAAAAACATACTGAATCTAAATTCAGACAATATTATGATGGGTTGGAAAATATTATAATAAGATTATTTTTTTAACTAGCTAGTTCTCTGTTAGAATTTTTTTCCCCCAAAATTTCTAGTTATCAAAACAACCATAATATCATTTTATTATTATTTTTTATAGTTAAGAATTAACAAGTTTTGAAATATTATTGAAATTTAAATTGACTATAACGAAACTTATTAAAGAATTTTAAATTAACTGCAACTAATCTTTTTCATTCATAATTTCTCTATGAGAAATATTTTTCCAAAATTTTTCATTATTAAAAAAACAAATTTTATTTTAGTCTTATCTTTTATAAATATTAATTAACCTACTAAGTTAAGAATCCTATTAAAATTTAAAGATAATTTCTGTTCACAAGCTTCAAAGAAATAATTTCATGAATATTAGAGAGAAAAATAATTTTAACAACTCAAGCTTTCGAGCTTATTTATTTATAAATATAATTGTGATTACTTTTTAAATAATTTTTTATATCAAAATATATAAAAATATTTTTTTTATTTTAAAAAAATTATTTTTAACATTACAACGTCAAAATAATTTAAAAATATTAAAAATATATTAATTTAAAATAAATAAAAACATAAAAAATTTCAAATATTTTTTTAAAAAATCACGATAGCAGTAATAGAGAAAAGATGCACGACAATAGCAAAAGAAGAGTCCAAAGTAAAGAGGGAAGGAAAAAAAAAATCACGATAACAATAAAAGAAGCTTTCAAAACAAAGGAAGAAGGAGAAATTTGCACTATAGGCTAGGCTAAGATGAAGAGTCTATTAAAGAGAAGGAAGTAGATTTTTAAAGTATAACGATTTTAATCCCAAGAGAATAATAGAAGGTTTAACCTATTAGTTAATTAATTTTTTCTATTTATATATGAAAGATAATATATTTTTTCTATTGTGTCATAATTTTTATATTAATTATTGTATATTTTTCTACATATATAAATAGAATAAGTATATTATTAAAGGTTTATATATAGATATATATGTAGAAAAGGTCGACTAATATATATTAAAAAAAAAAAATGTTCCCCCATCGGTTTAAGCATGTCGATGTGATCTCGTAAGCCAATTCCAACTTTTAAAAATTATCCCATTATTTTCACACACAAAAAAAAAAAAATTTCGAAAAACGCAAGAAGCTATAGAATTTGATAGCACACACACAGACAATGAATAGATCAGGACAATCCCAAATAAATTTGCTATAGCTGTGAATCATTTTATACAGAGAGTGTAGAGGATGCATGAGTAGTAGATGTATCTCTCTCACATATACAGAAGGAGTATAATAAAATGAAATGGAACTACAAAAAGACCTTTCTCTAATCTCAAAAGGACACCAAGGACCCAATTGAAGCTTTGAACTTATTGAAAACTGTATGGTATATATATATATATATATTTCTTTTCCTATTACAAAGTAAATAAAATTAAATAGAAATTAAAGCATGTGTGTAAGAAGTTTTTTTTGAAAAAAACAAGCATGCTGATTAATTTGGTATATGTATTCCTATCAAGAAGCCATATCTCATCTCCAAGAACTACCTCTTCATCATCTTCCTTGACTTTGAACTGGTGATCTTGATAACAAGTCCAGGATAAACATCATCTGGGTCATGGATATGCGGGTTCTGCTCCACTATAAACGGGTCGTCACACTTTTCACTGATGGTGTTGAGGGTCTCCCCTTCTCCAACAACATATATTTCATCACAAGGTCTGCCAAAAAACTGGTTCCCCTTGACAGGCTCTTCTGTGATAGAACTCTCTCTAATAGACCCCAATAATATTAGGCATAATAGGACAATAGCACAGTAACATGATGCTGCATCAGCTACTGCTAATGAAATTCTCAAGGTTTTCTTTGAAGAAGAGAAGTCCATGTTGATATAAAATGAGAGGGATAGATGGCCTTTGAGTCTTTCGACGAAATGGGGAAGGAGATGGTGTGTATAAGTGGACATGTAGTGCTTCGGTTATGTATGTATTTATATATCTGGTGAGGGGCTTTAATGGTATATTTTGTTGGCCCCCCTAATATTAATTTTATCTTAGTTTGGTCCTACTATTTCCATTTCTCATCTTTCAACTTCTTATTTTGTGATCACATGATCCTTTATCTATAATAGATACTAGCCAGGTTGCTTAGCCCTCTATGCTACGGCACGGATCAAAAAAAATTTCAACATAAACAGAAAAAAGAATATTAAAGCTACTGGCATTATAATTAAACTTGATTGAGCGAGAATCTCTTGACGTTGAAAAATTAAAAAACTAAAAAATTAAAAGAGAGAGATTAATGCACGGTTTCATAAAAAATTTAGTGATTAATAAAAATATAGTTTGATTTAAAAAAAAATTAAAATAATATTTTTTTAATTATTAAGATGATATTTTAATATATATATATATATATATAAATTTAGTACGAAAAATAAATGATATTTAAGATAAAATATTTTATTATATATATATATATATTGAAGTAAAAACAAATATGATCAAAGACCCATCACAGCGGTCTTTAATAACATTTGGTTAGGAATATCATTTTTTATTAAAAAATAACTAATGCTAATTTGTGCTTTATCGAGATTAATTGTTTTTAATGATTTTAAGTTTGCGTTTTTCATATATGGTGTATTTAATGAATAAATTCTACTAAATCTTATTCTGAATATTTGGACTCAGAACTTCCACAGAGAAAAAAAAAAAAGAAGTCTTAATTTTACGACCAAGTCTCTACTCCATAGAGTTGACGGAAAGATCATACCAATATTAGAAAAATGCAGCGTAGAAGGAGGATATAAAGACAACACAAAATGAAAGGATAAAAGTAAGACAAATTTAAGAATAGAGGGACCAAATTGGGTAAATAATTAATGTGATTAGTAGCTTGTTGGAAACGACACGAAGCAGGAAAAGGAGAGATACTTGGACGTTTAGTTTGGGGGAAGTTGGGTTCAACAATATTGAAGACACGGTGTGTCTGGACGTGTTTAAAGAGTTACACTTAAGTCATCTCCATGTTCATCAGAATACTGAAAAGGACATTGATGCATAATTCTAAACACTGTTCATCAGCATTAATCAGATGTTTGAAAGAATCAGAAGGTCCACCAAGGGGTATGACCATTGGTTGCATCTTGGTTGCTAATTTCAAGGATTAAAAGCATAGAAAAGTCAACAAAGTTATTATCTGAAGGCAACCTTCCCTTCCTTCTTCCAACTTCCGATGGACTTAATGCTAGATGCACAAAAATCGAAATTCTGTTGGACGTAATTATGTTGCCATTAGTCCTTGCCCAAGTTGTTTAATTATCAAGTTCTTGCCGTGCTATGATGATGGATGTGAAAAACATATGGTTCCTCCTACTTTCTCATAATTGTTAAATTTCTTTCTTTAATAACTTAATCTATACGTAATTCTTTTTTGGATTACTCTAAAAAGAAAGATTAATTGGTAATACAGCCTGGAAGGGCTCTATAACTGTGTATATATTCATAATAAAGATAATTTGACTATGGGTATAATTATATACATGATCCAGACAGATAAGGGACTTTACACGGTGATCAACTCAAGAAAGGGGTGGACAAACGGAGAGGATGGTTCTGGCGGGGCTAGGGAGGCTAGCTTGGGGGGGCGTTCTGGTGGGGCTAGGGAGGCTGGCTAGGCGGTGAAAATGTGAGGAGGGTGGTATATGGAGTGAAGGAACAGGTGCCTCCCACTACCCACCTTTCGAATTACTGTAGCCATCAAAGAGTGCACAAATAACCAGCAAAAATACCCCAAACTCAAGGATATCGGCAAGGGGATTTATTGAGGCCACTGCTCTTTACCGCTAGTGGAGTTCAATGAATGGGGACCAAATATGGAGACTTTTTGTGAGGAATTGGACAGGAGCACAGTGCCCTTTTGCATGCTTGACTTGACCTCTAGATCAATCAGCTGACCAAGTCATTATATGTATTTGCACGAAGCGGTAATTGCAACTTCTGCCTTGGCTCTAGAGGTCCCAAAACAACTACCATTTTCAACGCCCAACTATACGGCGGTGTTATAAAAATCAGTCCAGCCTCGCTCGGCAACTTGGTGATCCATGATCTAGCCTGGTTGGGTTTCATTTCGAACCAGGTAAGAGTGATATTATTAAACTTGATTAACTTAACGGATCAATTTATTATCCAATCGATTTATTTAAAATTCGGATAAGATTCAATTTAATTTTTTTAAAAAACTATTATAACCCATTTCTTACATTACTTCTAGCATATTAATACAAAATACTATAAATTAACTTAATTACATCAAAAATATTTTTTCTAGTAATTTTTGTATTTTAAAAATATATTAAAAAATGAAGCTCAAAATAAATTACGATAATTACTCTCTCTTCATAATATTGACATATGAAGACATTGAAGACCTCATTTTCCATTGGCTTTTAATAGTAAGCTCATCAAAAAAAAAAAAAATACAAGGGAAGATTCAATGATCCAAAAATCTAAATGGTCCAAATACTTTTTTTAGCCATTTTAGGTAATTCTAAACAAAACAAGTACTCTTTTTATTTTTCAACAAATAACAATATTGTATCTTATCTTAGATAAAATATATAATGCCATTGCTATAACTATTGTAGGCTAAATCCCGTTTAAAGTTAATACACAAGGATTGTTAAAAAGTATTTGAATGGAGTTTCTAATGATATTTGTATTAATGGGGCTTGTCGTTTCCTAGTTGTTTTTTATGATCATGGAGGTAAATTTAGGTGGTGTTTGTTATTAAAGTCTATTTATATTTAAAAAAATAAAAAAATTAATTTATGGAGGTAAATTTAGGTGGTGTTTGGTATTAAAGTCTATGTATATTTAAAAAAAATAGTTTATTTTTTTTTATTTTTTTAAATCATTTTGATATGTTAATATTAAAAATAAATTTAAAAAATAAAAAATATTTTTTTAAAATAAAAATAAACCGTGCTCGATATGAACAAGACAATGGATTCGGAGATAGATTTTCTAATGTGAGAAGGGGGCATCTTTTTTATAATTAAGAGTACAAGTAGTCCTCAAGATTAATCAAGTGCCTGTCGTTTTGGATGTTATCTAACCACTACTTTTTTTGTTTCTTTTATCCATTCGTTATAAAGCAGAGGGCGAAGCTTAAGAGGAAGGGAAAGTGGGAATCTATTTCAGAAAACCTTCCTCCGAGAAGTCAATGCACTGCCAGTCCTCTGTTTAACCACTAATTAACTATATTTTATTTATAAAATCTCTGCAATTAAAGGTCCTAATTAATGTTAATTACTTTGATAGCGTAACCCATTTCTTCCTCTCTCTCTCTCTCTAATTAAAACCTCAACAAATTCAAGAGGGTATGTAGTTGTTAAAAAGATATGCTTTTTTTCTAAATTTTTTAAGTTTAAATCTCGAATTGGGTATCTCAATGGATTCATTTGAATGCATCAAGAGGGAAAGTGGGTCAAGTTTAGTGACTTAGTCTTTGTTGATGTAGAAACTTACCTGAGAATCTTGAAAGAACAATTAAACTCTAACATTCCAGCTGAGTTTGATTAAATTCTTCAATCAACTTCTATTCTTTTCTTTTTTAAAAAAAAAAGATTAACCATATTGTTCAGTTATATTCATTCATTAAAAATGTGATTCAAAATAATGTTATTGTTTCAACCAAAATCTTGGACTGAATTTATGATAAATTGGAACTTGGAAGTGTCGAATTTGTTGGAGAGGATTGTACATGGGGACGATAAGGGTCGAATTTGGAGAGGATTGTACATGGGGACGATAAGTGTTAGGGGAAAAATTAATTGTTTACCGAACCATTGGACCGTCCTTATTTATGAAGGTTTGGCAAAAACATGTAATTGCACAAGCATGATTATCAACTTAAGCTATGAAAGTTACTCGCTACCTAAACCCTAAATCCCTTAATTAAATTGGAGTTTATTACAATTAATAATTATAAGTTGGGATTAAAAAGTATGCTAGTCAGCTATTGTATCACATCAGATAAATGACATAGTATAAGCTTGTAATTAATATATATTCATAGTTAGCAAACTAATGAAGTAGGCATTAAGGAGCAGCCATTGGTGATGGTAACACTTCTCTTATTATATCTCTTGCCACAGTCAGCATCCATCATTATTCCATTTAATTTTGGTTAAAAGAATAATAGAATTTATTTAATTATATTTCTTGTTTTACAATCAAGAAGTTTTTCAAAATTAACTTCCACATTCGGAGACTAAATCCATCCTTTCAATCTAATGATGATTAATTACATCATTATCCCGTATTTTATTGGAATCGGATGATAGCTAGCATTGAAATAAAACAAGCATCACTAATTAATTGATGGATACATTCTAAGCATCATTTAAGGAGGTGTCTGTTTTTTTAAGTTCCAACCCCTCTTTAAATATATTTTTTTAAATAAAAAAAACATTAAATTAGTATTTTTGAACAATATTGATGTACTAATGTTAAAATAAAATAAAAATTTCTAAGAAATTACTATTTTAATATATTTCCTATCAAAATCTACTTATAAAAAGTACAGGGAAGAGTCTTTGTTGTGTAAGATTTTTTTAAAAATTATTTTTTACTTAAAAATAAAATAAATTATTGTTTTATAATTTTTTCTTCAATAAATCATGTTTTCAAAACGCATTAAAAAAAAAAAAAGCCGCACTCCTAAACACTCACACGTCAAAATTCCACATTTTCAGTGCTCCGACTATTGGAAGTGACAGCAGCAAGGCTCTATTCCAAGTATACTCTCCTGAAGTGACTCAAAAACAAACCAGAAACCATGCTTGCACACCATCACACAGTAGCACCCAAGGAATCGTTAAGAGAGCCCATCAGACTTCATATTAATGGTGAATCTTTAATATAAAATTAGATTGGGAGCTTGAAAGATGAG